ATATATATATATATATATATATATATATATATATATATATATATATATATATATATACACACGCTGTATATATACACGTAGCATTCGATTAAGTTGGGTCGGGAAACAAAGTAGATGAATTTTGGGCTGCTTTTGTCAACATTAACAGTAAAACCAAACAAGCTGTCACTTCATGGTTACAAACACAGATACAAGATTCAGTTCACCTTGTTCTGTCCACTCACTCATATCGCAATTTGTGTATTTGGTTTTCTGACACTTTTGACAGCCTATTTATCTCACATTTTATCTTTCTTTATTTGAAGCAGATATGAAGCTATGTATGCTTATGATGCGTTTTCTATTGCGTATGTTTTACACTTTACAGATTCCTGGCAGGGTTATGATTTTCTTATTGAATTGTGGGTTTGGGCTGGAAACGGAATATGATCTGGCAACCCCGGCCGCTTGCACATGGGGCGACCCGACCCCTCTTCCAGGTGAGCTACTATGTCACAAAATCATCTTGTGTGTCTACACAAGGTGAGAAGCTTTTCCACCTCCAGCAGGTGCATGTCTGGTGGTGGGCGACTTTGAGGGTTGTGGACTGATTTGGTATTTTGGTATTTTCCAAATCCTGCTCAGAAAGAATCGTCCTCTTTGGAAAGAACCAACTGATAAAGAAGAAATAAATGTGTGTGTGTATTTTGAACCCTGAACCCTCCATCCACATGAGAGTGATTGATCTGCTGCCATAAGAACACCTCTCCCCCCAAGGCGCAGGTGGACTCAGAGTCTCCAGGTGGATGCTGTGGTGGAGGTGAGGATGATGAAATGCCCCCCCCCAATAAGAGAAATGCACTGGACAGATCTGGCAGTGGACCCGATCTGACTAAATGAAGTAGAGACATGGGGAAGTACATATCCCATTTATATTGGAAACTTAATTCCATATTTATTGCCTCCACACGGCTGACGGGATGAGCGTCGCCCTCTGCTGGTCTTACATTAGAACTGCTGCTGTTCAGTTTGCAGGTGGTTTTTTATCCATCCGACGCTGAGCTTGTGTTTTTCATTTTATTCCCCGTGAGACGCACACAACCTCTAAATCTTTCTCTTGTGTGTTCTATCATATTTAATGTGTGATCCCCGGGGCCTCGTCTTTTTGGAAAGCGCACCGCGTGTCCTTGATTGCAGAGTACACAAGTTTCAAAGAATACGCCTTGGGTGGTGCTAAAAATGAGTTTTTTGATTTATTTTTTTTTAATACAGAAAAAAAGGAGAAGATCAAAGCAGTTGATGTTGGCATTCAGACACAGTTTTAGTCTCTGGGTTTGGATTTTGGCTGCCAGCAGAAAAAAAGACAAGCTGGTAGTTTTTATGAGGCCTGGAGGATGAGCAGTCGAGTCTGTGTTCAACGGGGGGCCACAGTCGAACAGATGTTCACACGGTACAGGATTACAAGTGTCTGGATGTTTGTGTGGTACTTCCTCATATCCTGTATGCCAACATCTCTACATGTCCTTCATTTTGAGTTTAATATTTCATGTCCTGCCTTCTTCATTGTCCTCAATGTCTCAACAACGATGATATTTCTGGTTCAAAGTGACATTAAAAAGGTCTGGCTTTGATCTTTCTTTGCTTTTTGTTGCTAAGCAGTGAATCATAATTTGCATTGCACAGAAACAAACGGCGGTTTCGTCCCACTCTTCAGGAACAAAGAGGTGCATTTAGAAGTCACAGTGAGGCAGTAACGCACTCTCACATTCATTTAGATTCCCATAATGATCAAAAAATAAGGGAAAACAATAGGTGAGGTCTGGTTCCTGAAGGCCACACGATGACATTTAAAGTACGGTGAAGCAGATAAATCTCCGTCTTTGATGTTGACGAGTAGGTCTTAACTGGCACATTCTCCTTTCCACTCTTCAATTTGACAAACAGGATTTGAACTGAGGCCTCCCACACAGTAAACAGTCAACAGTGAGCTGCAAGTGGCTGAGGGAGATATTTACCACTCGATGTGTTTGCCACCTCGTGCCATCGGGAACCAGCAGCTTCTTCTGCCGCCGCAGAACAATGTCACCAGCGGTGAACAGCAGCCAGCCAGTTCCTCCGGTAACAGACAGCAGTCACAGCGAGCAGTAGCTGAGCTCAAACAGCTCTGCTTCACTTGGCCACGTACGCCGCCACCTCCTTATCCAGACTCTGGGCGAAGCGGTGGTTGAGGAAGAGGAGCTGCCCGTGAGGAAGCAGGCGGCTGAGCAGAGCATCCACGCGGTTGCTCCTCAGCAGGACCTGCAGGGAAAGCGTTGCAGACTCGTTTTTAACGATCAGATGATGAAAGAAACATTACTGTTGCCTGTGTTTTTGTAACTGCTGTTTCCTGAGCGTATAATGAGCGTCTCGGTGAGCAACGCTCCACACGCTCTGCTACAAAAAGGTTTCATTTGAATAGAATATCATTAAAGCTGCACCTGTAAAATACACCATCCAGTCCATGTTACTCATACAGGAGTAAAGAGTTCATTTTAGTCGGTGACTACTTTCAACAGCGGATTGATACACAGAGCTAAACTCCGACAGAGGGGCGAACACAGCCAGACTCTGCTAAGTGTTGAATAGATCGTGGCTTCTCATGGGGCCATTTTAATGTGTCAGCAAGTCAAAGGCTGCCTGAAGATCTCAACAACAAGGCTGAAGATGCTGTCTAAGTTCTGAGATAATAGCATTTCTCAGCCAATCCTCTGCTGCCACACTGCTTCAAAGTACTGCACATCGTTGCAACAACCTTCCCGATCCCCAGTTGGATCTGAGAAACCTTTAGTCCATTTGTGAAAACTGAAAAATAGTGATTTTCACAGTTTTTTCTCCCGCAGAGCTTCTGCCTAATGGTTGGTTTCCATTAAAAAAGAAAAATGTTTGTAAAACACAAAGCTAGTTATTTTTATATATCTAAATGTGTTCAAGAATGAACAAAAATGACAAATTAAAAACGCATCATTTCAATGACGACTTACATTTGAATATCACAATGCCAGTAAGGACACATCATCAGTGAGAGGCAAAGCGTTGGCTGGCTAACGTTCCCTTGTGAGACACAAACATGCGCCAGAAAAAGCTCTAAAGCATCTACTGAGGAACCCTGAAAAAGGGGTTCCTCAGTGTGCAACACACACTGGTTTCCCGTGTCTGCGTGGTGCTCACCTCGCTGCCCTGCCCCAGCATGTGCAGAGTCTCCAGGCAGTGTCGGGTCAGGTTGTGCAGGGTCCCCTCGGCCAGCAGGAGGTTCTCGTGGGGCTCGCAGACCAGCGTGAAGCCCAGACTCTGGACGCCCAGCCACAGAGCGCTCATCTCCTCAGAGAAGGGGTCTCCAGCTCTCAGACGCACCACCCCGCCGTCGGCCTCCTGCAGGGCGAGCGCCTCCTCGCCGGGCTCCGTCTCCACCAGCAGCCGACCCGAAGCCTCCCGGGACAGAGAGACGGCGCTCCAGACCTGCCTGAGTCGCAGAGGATCGGAAATATAGAAACAGGCAGTTAACCAGAATTCTGAATCATCTTAGTCATAATTAAGATTAGAATATATGTATCCTGTTTTTGTGGCATGTTTGTATCATTTTCTGTGTATTTAGATCTAAAATCATTAGAACATAACCTTATGTGACATCACATTATGTCTGAAAATATATTTGTTGTTGTTTTTTAAACCAAAGGTATTTAATTCAGAATGATATGAAATAACAAAAAACTAGAAAATACGATATTTGAGAACTTGTCAGCCACACTGGATACAGATTCCCTGCCCAGCTGCCTACTTTAGATCTCACACAGTGCAGAAATGTATCATTAATAACTCAAGTATACATTAATAACTTAGTACAACGGAGGTCTTTTACAGTCAGTCTTTCCCAGTGCACAGAGAGGGAGCGGTTCCTCTGACAGCAGTAATCAGTAGTTACAGGCTGTCATGTGGGAGAGCAGAAAACTACACACACATACTGTGACATAAATCCTCTTTTGCTGAAAACAAATTAGGCGAATGCTAAAAAAGATTGACAGCCTCCACCGGCTTTCTCTGATGCTTTTGACACTGTGTGCAATCAGGGAATCAGCAGGAAGCAGAGAGGAAGTGGGTGCAGTACAGTGGACAACAGGAGGAGGGCGCTGTAGGCATTGAACTCGAGCTCGTATCCTACATCACTGCTTTTATTTATTCTGTTCAGACAAAGCTAGTTAGAACAGTTATGTATTTCCTGACTTCTGTCGTGTTGGTCCCCAGGTGAAGCAGTCTATTGGTGCATCAGTCCAGCTGCACTGGAGAGTGATGCAGAGGGCAGAATGTTACTCTGCATCATGTACTAAAGTACTGCTCTTAAACTATGCATCATGTACTA